CTGAACGAGAACACGCTGCAGAATCATGTTTACTCCCCCCAACACACCCAAGCCCTCTCAAACCCATCTATTTTTAGCAGTGACACTGATGGCTGCCCCACAAGGACCTCAGAGCCAGTTATGACCAGAGCCCAAGCCTTACATTTTATTCAGACCAGCCTCAAAAGCTGTTTTGCCAGCCCGATAAACCACCGTGGGTGCTGCTGACACGGCTCTGCTCCCTGACACAGCACAAGCTCTCGGTGCTCGAGGCAATATTGCTGCAATTTAGATGCACAAGTGTCACCTGCATGTGACTGCCAAGCAAGAGACCCCCACTGAATACCTGAGCAAGTGTCAGCGGGATCGCTGCCCCTCCATCACCAGGAGAACCACCCATCCTGGGAGCAACCAATGGATTGTGCTGCTGAGCCACGACCCTCCTCTGACAGCATCCAAAACAGGCCCAAACATTCCCTAATCCCCGCTCCGGCAGCGCTGCGGCTGCAGGGAGAGCCTCTGCAGCTCCCTCCAGACCCGGCATGCAGACAGCACCACCGAAATCCGAACTGCACCACGGGGAGAAGGGGAAAAAAAAAACCAAACAAACCAAAAATCACAAGCCCCCGCAGCTCCAGCGTTTCAGTCCGTGCCCCCCTCGGACCCCCTGGCAGTGCCCTCATGCACCGCGCGAGCGACGCTGCTGAGATTTATCACAAGGCTCTGAGGAACATGCAACAGCAATGGAATGATTTTTCATAAACATTGCAGAAGTCACAAACAACAGCAAAAATCATCACTGTTTCGGGGAGGCCGGAGTGATGTAGCCTACCTGCAGGGGCTGAATGGATCATCCATGACTATGACAGGCGCCTGCGGGGTTCGGATGTATTCCTGAACCCCCTAGTTAAGAGCTAAAACTCTGCCTTTTCCACTCTACCAACTCAAAATGGAGGCAACATGCAGGCTGAGAGACCTCGGCGAGCTTTCACTGAGCTTGTGCTGTGACCTAAGCCCGCACGCAGAACGCAGAAACTTCGCCCTCGGACTGGCGGCACTGAGCATGTGCTGTGACCCTCCCTCAGCACGCCCGGGCTCTCGGCGCAATCAATCCCAACGCGCTGTTTCCGTAAATAAAGCTCGGAGCGCTCGGCAGAGACACACACACACACACATAGAGACACACAGACACACAGATACAGACACACACACACACGCCAAGCTTGTGTGCAGGGAAGTGGGGCCTTGGCTGGGGGATCCCTCACGGCCAACGCCGGAGATCCCGCCCCGGCCCCCGCGGCGGCTTCTCCCGCGCTCCCCGGGGCGAAACGGAACGCGCTCCTGGAAGCCTCTTTTTTTTATTTTTTTTCTTTCGCTAGGTCGTCATCAGCTTTTCGAAATCACGTCCCTAAAAAGGCTCGGATGCAAAAGGAGAAGCGTCGCGTTTTCTGTGGAGTTTATGTGTTGGAAAACGGAGCGGCTGATTCACCAGATACCCGTGTTCTACCTGCAGCGTGTGAGGGCATTGAGGGGTGTCAGTTCAGCTAAATGAACTTATTTTACCTGCAAAGTATGAGAAAAATCTAAGGAATATAATTTCATTTACGAGCTAAATGAATGTATTTTACCTGCAATGTATGAGAGCATTTAAGGGATATTATTTCACTTGTGAACACAACATGTTCTACCTGCAGTGTGTGAGGGCGTTTAAGGGATGTCAGTTCATTTACAAGCTAAATGAACTTATTTTACCTGCAACATATGAGAAAATGTATGAGAGCATTTAAGGAACATCAGTTCATTTATGAGCACGTGTGAACACAATATATTTTACCTGCAAGTATGAGAAAATCTAAGGAATATCATTTCATTTACGAGCTAAATGAACATATTTTACCTGCAATGTATGAGACCATTTAAGGGATATTATTTCATTTATGAACACGTGTGAACACAACATGTTTTACCTGCAGTGTGTGAGGGCGTTTAAGGGATGTCAGGTCATTTACAAGCTAAATGAACTTATTTTACCTGCAAAGTATGAGAAAAGCTAAGGAATATAATTTCATTTACGAGCTAAATGAACATATTTTACCTGCAATTTATGAGAGCATTTAAGGGATATTAGTTCATATATGAGCATGTGTGAACACAGGTTCTATGTGCAATGTATGAGAAAATTTAAGGGATATTATTTCACTTATGAGCACGTGTGAACACGACTTGTTCTACCTGCAACGTATGAGAAAATTTAAGGGATATCAGTTCATTTACAAGCTATATGAACTTATTTTACCTGCAGCGTATGAGAATATTTAAGGGATATTATTTCATTTACAGCCACGTGTGAACACAACATGTTTTACCTACAGTGTATGAGAGCATTTAAGGAATATTAGTTCATTTATTGTGAACACAAAATGTTCTACCTGCAATGTATGGGAGCGTTTAAGGGATATTTTTAGGTCATTTACACAGGTGAACACATTGTGAACCCAAGAGGAGCCAGGCTTGACTCAACTGTTTGACCTTCCGGGCTCACCCTTCAATTTTGGCCTTCCTGTTTATATTAATGTGATTTTCAAACAGATTCTTTGGTGCCCATTTACATGAAGGTAACATCCCTTCCCCTGGAGCACACAATGATTTAATTAGGATTCTCGCCTCTGTTTTTAGGCCCCTGAGATGCCTGAGATGCCACGAGGCTAAAGAAGGGCAAAAAGTTTCTCAGATTTTGAATTTTGACAGACAAACACATTAAACAGAACAGATCAGGCCACAAAACAATCCCTAATTTTCTCTCTTACAACAATCCAGTGAGAAAAATTTGTTATAACACAGGTGGATACACAACTTTCTTGTTGTGTTGCCTCCCACCCCCTTCTTGAGAACCTTCACCAACAGTTTGGCTCCTTCAATGAATGTGCCATAATAATTTAAATGTTCAGTAAATGGAATGTTCCAGCTACTGTGGCTCTGCTGAAATTATCCAGTGCCATTTCCTAAGGTACAGGATAGAGGAGCCTGGCTCATGCTTGTAAAAAAAATTCAAAACAAACACAACCAACCACAGTAAAAGTTCCTATGGTTGGTTTGGTTTTCTTTTTTTAAATACTAAGCTAAACTAGGTTATGGATGTAAAACTTCCAGAAACACGATAAAGTTTTATAAACTCTTTAAAAAAACAAATAAACTCACCATAACTCTATCAACTCACTTCTGTTGTAATGTTCCATTCAGAATGAGACCATTGACCAGAAAAAGACAACTACTCCAATTATGCTGCCCAGTCTGTACCAGCTGACTGATTTAAGTAATTACAATTGTAAGGCCAAATGTAGCCAGTGTTCACTTAAAGCTGAAATGTATTTCTGATTTTTTTGCTGCTGTTGTTCCAATTAAGGCTTTTGACCCCTCAAATTCACGTGAACTTGAGAACAAACTCTCAGCTTTTATGCTCCCCTCGGTTCAGGGATAAATTGAGATATGGACACATGGGAATAACGTCACTCCAAGTGACATTAAATCTCATATCAGCCAGATAGAAAAACCCAAGGAAGTTACTCATCCATTTCTCTAAATATAGTTTTGGGAAGGGTTTTTTTTTCTGTTTGTTTAAAAGGAATCAACTGCAAGGTGCTTCAACACAACAATATCAACTGATACGAAGTGAGGGTAACCAGCACCTTCCATAATTCTTTCTGAGCACTATTAGACAAGTGACACAAAACAACCTTGCTGTAATTCAGTAGGACCTACAGAAACCATCTGTTCCACATCACATGGGCCCATCATGCACACAGCCCCCAGTTTCCCCCATCAGGAGGATTCATGGTTGTATTTAAAACTGTTAAACTTATTAAAAAAAAACACTGGACTTGCAACACGCTGTAGGAATTGTCTCATCTAAACAAAGCACAGCAGAAACTGTCAGTGCTGTACTAAAGATGAGCATAACAAGAACTCTGATTTGAGCCATAAGGATGGATACATTTAAACCCCATAATGATCATTTCTCCAGCGCTGCCCTAGGCACAGTTATGTGCTTACAATCAAAATATTCTGACTGCTAAACATTAAGCAGCCAAGATGACAGCAAACCCCAACTCTGCAGCCCTCCCCGGCCTCTGCTCCCATTTGGGTTGCACATATCAATGTATCATTCAACTACAAATTTTTTCTGAACAGGGGCAACATGAAGAGGGAGCTCTGAAAACCCTCCTGACACAGTTCCACAGCTTCCTGTAAGAATATACACTGTTGCCACCTGTTCCTAGACCTGAAACTGGGACAACACCCACTCTGCTTCCCACTGAAAGGAGGGGGGAAAAAATAAAGGAAAAAGAGGCTCTTAATTCCGACTTTAAACAGAAATCCCTGTCCAGAGAACGTAAAATGAAGAACAAGAAGGAACAAAGAACAAGAAGGAACAAAGTCCCCTTCGATGTCACTCTTGGGGACACTCCTCTCAGATACCTCAGCACTCATTTAACTCACCACATCACCCACTAAGAACACTCCAAAGGATTAAAAATGAAGGAAAAGTAAACATTGTGCAATAAAAACACAGACAAACACTTCCCAAAACATGTATTCCAAAATTCACCCAAGCCTCGAATGTTGGTATTATTTTGTTGTACAACACAAAACAGCGTTGGGGAGGAGGAATTTGGATTCATGGCCATGAAACCTGTTGGTAGAATAATACCTGGTTATTTCTAGTCCCAAGTAAAAACTCAGCAGCATTTCAATCTCTGTATATTTACAGATGTCAGTGTCAGACAAAACTTTATATTGTCTTTATTTACTCCCAGGATCAAAGAATTGAACATGCCAGCACGTCACACAGACCAGGAACATCTGGGACATCTGCATCCCCCAGTCCCAGCTCCAAGAGCTTTCTCCAAGTCCACACAGGACATCAGAGCACGAAAGGAAGGCCTGGAAGCAGTGGTGGGATTCCATGTTGGTGGAATTAGTCAGTTCAGAGCAGTCACTTCTCTGAAGAGACATGAAATTAATTATTTTCAAGTACTCCACGTAAAATGAGTTTCCTTTCTCAGCTGGCAGGATGAGCTCAGTGGATGCATCCCACACCCTGGAGAGCCAGGAACACATTGCAGCTCTCCTGACTGCCTTGATTAACACTATTCAAGGTGTTAACACTCAGTCTCTGGCTTTAAGATTAGCTGAGGGTTTTATTCCACAATCAGACTTTTTTTAGTGATGTGAGAATTACTGAAACTGGAGGTAGTCTTTTGTTGAACTCTGGAGAAAAAAAACAACCCGGCCTGATGCTCACTGCAAAGAAAAGTTATCCCAAAATGCAGCTTTACCAGTTCCAGACAACAGCAGGATCACAGTTGAATTTCTCCAGCTAAACCTACAGTCAGCAAGTTTTCAAACAGCAAAAAAAGGACAAAACACACTTTGCTTGAGCTCTGTGTGCTCCAACAACAAAAAGGCCTCGTATTCCACATCCCTTGCGATGGGGATGTTTTTGGGATGTTTGTGAGTTGCTCTACAAACACATGGAAACACAGAAAACAGATTCCCACCAGGCTGAGTTGGATCTGAGAGACCTGGGAAAATTTTTGAGCATCTTCTGCTGAACACAAAACCACTCCAACAGAACTCCAGCTTTGCACACACAGCCCACAGCTCAGGGTTGTTGGGGCAGAGATGTTTCCTATCCCACATTCCAACCAGGCACTTGAGGGGCTCACACTCATCCAGAACTTTATCTACAACACGCTGTTACTTCGAGCTACCAAGAACATTTTCCACCCTCCCCGTGTGAAACCAAACACTACCTTAGAAAAGCAGGTCAACCTGAAGACAAAGTTGTTTTGTGTGTTGTTTGTGGTTTTTTTTAAAGACCAACAGCTCATCCTGAAATGTGTCTTACAATACTTTTCCTTCCAAAAGCAAAATAAATGTGGCGTTGGGAACTCAAAGCCACATGGATTGTAAAACAGTAGCAAACACACAGGTCAAAAACAATCAAGCGACCTTGACTTAACTCCTTTTTCTCAACCTCGCCCATCCCAAGACAAAACACAGACTCGAAGAGCTAGAGTGAAAAAATAAAAAAAAGAACTGGCTGCAACCAAATGAAGAAAAAGCTACTTTTCAGAGCTGGCCAGGCTGAGTAATTAGCTGATCACTAAGTGCTAAGCTTTGTCATTGTATTGATCTTTTCAGGCTCAGTCATTTTCTAATAGCTGGAAGAATTAGCAGCTACTTCTACATAGAAAGGGGGTTTAAAACTCCACTGACAGCTCACATAAACGGCATTTCAGAAGAGAAATCATCCATTAAACGCTAATACAAACACATCGCTTAGAATTCACACCCTCGACAAGACTCTCAAGCCAAGACTGAAGAACAGTGACAAACACAGGGGGCAAGGATGGTGCTGAATATCAGAGAGGTGGAAATGAAAACCTCCCAAATGCCCTGCCTCGGTGGGCTGCTCCAAACAAAACGCACAAACCATGTTACAAACATATTTTAACATGTTTTAAAATATTCCGTTCCCAGAGCTCAGCACCACACACCACCAAGAGACCTCCTGGAGACTCAACACTGAGGGTAAATTCACACTCCCCAGGCCCCTGTCTCAGGGTTAAGGACAGTTTAAGACACTTCAGAATAAGGTGCAGGCAGCCTCATAAATAGGCAATTACAGAATAATAATATGTCCACCCAGTGAATTCCTTCCTCACTGCGAGCAGTTCGTGGCTGGCTCTGCCCTGAAGCAGAAAGATTCGTATCTGCATTAGGAACAGCAAACCTACCATGTAATAATTCAAATATTTATTGTTTATATGCCTCTCTAATCCCCACTTCAAACAATACCTCTAGAAATCAAGGTCCACAGCTAATTATGCTCTGCACTGAAAGGAACAATGAACCTTTCAGTGGGCACAGGCCTTGCTCCACTTAATTCATCTTTTACTCCAGTAAAATGTGCCCCTGCACAACCAACTCCTCAAGGCTGGGGTTTGTAAATCGTTCTCTGGGTTTAGAAAATCCCATAAATGAAGAAAATAAAAGTTCTGGTTTGGACCCAAAAAACAATGAATGTACACTCCAGTCTCAGCTTTGCTTTCCAAACACAGCTGATAAATCCTGGCTGGACAAATCCCAGACAGACTGAAAGAGCTGTGAAATAAAAGAGCTGGACACATCTTCAAATATGGACTGACTCCCAAAGAGAAGTTCTTTCTGTACCTCTAATTTGTTCTCTAGGCCAGCAAAGCATCAAGTAGGAGTTGCTGCTGACCCTGGATGACAATTTACACACGAGAGCAGGAATTCCCACACTTAAAAACTTCCCAGTTGATTTCTTAAAAGCATCTAAATTTCAACCTTGCTTGCTAGGAGATGCAAATGTGCTTTAGAAAGTATTTTCAGGGGTGTACATTCAGCCAATGAGACAGCAAAGAACTCCTGCTGAAGTCTGCAACCTTTAAAAAAAATCCACATTTCTAGGAAGCTGTTTTGAAGCAGCACATTATTTACCCAGAGACGCACTTGGATATCAGGATTTACTGCAAAACTTTGTTTTCTACTCTTATTTTCTCCTATATAAACACACACTCCAGCAGAAAGAAGCAGCTTCTCCCTTGCATTCCCTTCAATCAGCATCACACTTGATTTTTAACCTTTCTCCCCTTGAGCAGTTGTCACAGAATCACAGAATTAAGGCTGCAAAAGACCTCCAAGATCATCAAGTCCAACCTCTGCCTGAACCCCAGATCAGGGCAGTGGTAAAGTTGCCTTTAAAAGCCACTTCACTTACCTTGTCTCTGGATTATAGCCCAGGATGTAGAAAAATGAATCCACTCTGGCTTTGAACTCTCGAGCAGCAAAAATGTCAGAGAAATGGGAGATGTTGCACTTCCCTCTGGAAGAAAGAGGGAAAATGGCATTAGAATTCTAGCTTGAATAACAGCTATTTTAATTAAGTGCCACTGCAATCTGTGTCTGAGCCACAGGCATCCTCCTTCTCATAAATGTCCAAAACCATCATAAATACCAGCCTGTTGTAACAAATAACCATGTGGATTCTTTCCCACGGTGGAAAGGGAAGGAAATCCAGTTCCAGTGTCTCAGATGGTGTTCTCCAAACAATCATTAATCCTCCTTCAGCCAGCACACAGTCCAAGGAGCCCAAATTTAATCAGACTAATGAACAATACCTAGAAATACAAGCCTGAAAATATCTAATTTTTGAAGTTTTTACAGTCTTATTACACTTCAATCTTCCAAAATTGTACTGATCACATTGTTGGAGTCGGCCTGGGAAGTCAGCTTTGTATTTAGAAAGCTAAATAAACCCACAGTTTAATAGAAGCTCCAAACAAAAAGCAAAGCTGTGCTGTTTTTAGCAAGTCTGCAATCCCGACAATACAAATTCCAAACAGACAGGAGTTTCTCCCTTCTCCTTTCATACCTAAGAGAGTAAAACACACAAAGACATATTAAAAAAATGAGGGGGGAAAAAAGAGACCTGAGGATTTATTAGCTTGTTCCACCCCAGATTGCTAATAATTCCTTTAATATAGCTGGCTGATGAAGTCATTATCCTTAAGAAGAGCATTCAGACTGACTCGAAGAAGTTGTTTCTCATTTCCTAGAGGGTTTGTTGGGCTCTTAATGTTCCACAGCTGCTCTGGCAGCAGCACATCCCACTTTGCTGCCTCGGAGTAAATCAGATCAGGAGCAGGCAGAGACAAATGGGCCAGAGAGCCAGAGCTGGGGCTTTTTATCTAAACCTGAGTCAAGGCAATAAACCAAAGCACAAGAGTTGGCTCTTTTGCAGACTGATAGCATCTCCCCTCCCTTGCATTTACTGAACAGTATTCACTGTTATAAATAAGCTGCTATGGGGCTTATTTAACACTGTTAAAGCTTTGCCAGTCCTGGTTCAAATGGAATGAGAAGTGCTCTTGCCACCAGGACGCTGAGATGAATCATTATTTTTGCCTGCAATAATCATTATTTTGCCCAGGCTGCTCAGCAGAGCTGGGAAAACACCTCACCCTTGAACGACTGCATCCCTGAACAACTGCATCCCTGAACGACTGCATCCCTGAACAACTGCATCCCTGAACAACTGCATCCCTGAACAACTGCATCCCTGAACAACTGCATCCCTGAACAACTACATCCCTGAACAACTGCATCCCTGAACAACTGCATCCCTGAACAACTGCATCCCTGAACAACTACATCCCTGAACAACTGCATCCCTGAACGACTCCATCCCTGAACGACTCCATCCCTGAACAACTACATCCCTGAACAACTGCATCCCTGAACAACTGCATCCCTGAATGACTGCACAGGGGAAGCTGAAATGCTGGACTTGCTTCCCTTCCTAATCTTTTCAGAGCAAAGCACTTCAAAAAGGCTTTCCCAGTCAACAGCCAGCTAAGAACTGCCTGGGAACGGGAGCTCTCCAACACTTCACCTGCTGCAGGTGAGGGAAACACCCCCAGGAGGATGGAGGATGAATAAAGCTGCTGCTGTTTGAAGCCAAAATCGATACTGGGATCCTGCAGAACTGCCCCTGGCATTGCCTAATTCCCAGGCCATGGAACATCAGCAAGGTGTGGAACACCCATCCCACACAAACACTCAACGCCAAACTCCTCCCTGACACTGATCTTCTCCCCGTGGCTGCTGTTGGTTTCCTGGTTCAGTCATTTAGAACGACAGAAAACGAGAAGGGGGATTTGTTTTGATAATTCACATTAAATTCACATTTTAAAAGCGTTCTGGGGAAAGAGATTGAGTTTCCTTTCAATAATTCAGCTGACAGTTAATAAGCATTTGCCAGCTAAGCTGCATTATCTGTTGTCAGTGGCAGCAGCACATCTTGTTCACAGCATTTCACACAAGGAGTGCTGCACTCACCACAAAGATTCACCATATAGGTAAAATTAAGCACATCGTTTTTATTACACACTTCCACAGGGAGCTACAACTCTCCTCCAGTAAATTTTTCCACTTGTTGGAGCAGAGGATTGGTAGTCACAATCACTGGTTTTATTTCCCAGTTTGTCATCAATTCATCCTGTGTCCATTTGTTTGCAGAGGGCAGAGGAATAATCTGGTATTATAATAAATTAGAATTTCATGTTAACCTTTCATGCATCACGACACACTCTGCCCACTCCACGTTCTCAGCGAGAACACCACGTGCAATTATCCTTATGTTCAACTTGTACACTGGGAGAAGGTTATTTTTCTAGTTTGTTTGTTTGCCATACATGTAAATTCCATTTTTAACTTTTCAATTTCTATCTTTTCTTTAAAAAGAAAAAAAAATTTAAAAAAACCCAGAAGGATGTAGAAGAGAAGGTGAAATACTCCCAGGGAAAATTCCAGACACACAGTTGAGTTTCTCTCTGTTTAAGCAGACAGATTTCCAGCTTGGTTCCATCAGGACAGCCAACCTCCTGCTAGCTGCTCTCTGGGAATGCTCATTTAATATTGCAAGTCCTGTAACTCTGCAAAGGCACTGTGGAATTCCACAAGCTTGTAGCACACCCCTGGAATGCTCTGAGTTTATAAAGGAAGTCTAATATTTCAGTCTAATACGTAAATCAAAGACTTCCCTCCCCCAACAGAACAGGAGCTACGTTTGTCTTGAAGTAAAGTGGCTTCAGCAAAGTGACTCTGAGCACAAAAATGTCTCCAGATGGCTCTGGTGAAACACCATCTGAGCATTATTAGCAGGGAGATTATTCAATTTGCATTTTGACAATATCCAGGCATGTTTGGCAGGCTGAAAAATCAGCTGAAAAATAACGCCTGGCTGTTTTTCTCCGAAAACATTTGGCAGTGGTGGCGTGTCCCCCTCGGCTCGGACAGCTCAGGCAAACACTCGGGGAGTGTTTGAGCAGCAGCCCCCGGGGAAGGGCAGGGAGCAGGAACAGCACAGGGGCCGTTCCCTCTGGGTGTGCAGGCAGCGTTTAATGGAGCTCTGAGCTGTGACAATGACAAGGGCCCGGGAGAAAAAGCCTTTAACACAATTTAATCAGGGCAACACCCCAGCAGTCCGTGCTGCAGGAGATGCCACCGTTACCAGGGCAATCAAACACGGAGCAGGGAAGGGCAGCGCTGCTGCAGAACCAGCAATGACCTCAGCTGGCAAACAATATCTTCTGAGCAACATCGATTAACCGAGATTAAAACTGTACAATTACAGCTCGTTTCTGAATGAGAGCAGATAACGCCAGTTAATTACTGCGGGAGAGGAGGAGAAAGCTGAGCTGGGTGTTAATGACCCCACACAAACCCAGAAAAGCCCCTCTCGAGTCACTGAGGGTTTTCTCACCCCCCTCAGCCCCGCAGTGTCTCACCTGAGGGCAGCAGCGTGGTAAGTGTCCACGTAATCCGAAATGAAGAGCTCTCTGTTCTTGATAACGGGGTCTGTGATAACCAGCTCTCGTCCAGAGTCTGCCAGAAAGCACAAACACAACCCCCCAGCTCGTTAGCTGCAGCCACTAGTCCAGTTTGCAGGTGTTTTTTACAGGTCAAAGTGTGAGGATGGTCCTTAGATAACACACTCAGGTTAATTAAGGTGACAAACACTCTGTTTATGTGGCCTGTAAAGGATGGGATATGACAATTAATGTGAATGACATATCCATTCTTACACATCAATTCTCCCTTGCCACACCTAAAAACCTTCTGCAGGGAAAGAGCTTTTAGGGGCACTGGATGACACATTTATCCACTGACCACTGGAAACTGTCACTCACTCCTAGGGGGAAGGAATTAAGGTGGAAGGACATAAGGAAATTAAATTGTTACTGACTTTTCCAGGATAAGGTTTGGGCTGTTTTCCATATTTAATGTCAAATCTTCAACTAAATCTTGACAGCACTAACTGCTTAGTCCTCTGGCTTTTGAGGTAAATATTGATATTCATGTTCCAACACCAAAAATTCTGAGGGTTAACAAAAAACTGGAGCACAACACAACTTTTTCCATGACTTCTTCATAACCCCTTTGAGGAAGAGGAAAACACTCGCCCAGGAGTGCATAAGAAAGCAGCTATGCTCCCATATCAAAACTGCTCCCTGTCTGACACTGGGCCTGTAATCTCATCCTCAGAAGTTTCAAATAAATTAGTAAGAGAAACGTCGGATTTGTGGAGCTTTTGCTAAAAGCACACACAGAATGTCCTTTAAAAGGAGAACTCGTGCTCAACTTTGTGCTGTCAGGCACCAGAAAAGTTGCTGTGTTCCATATTTCAATCATCAACTTTTATCATCACGGTTCACCTTGGAGTATCTTCAGAATTTTGAGCAGTTGCCTCAAGGAACTTTCCTGCTAAGAACAGAAGCAAATGTTATGTCTTCCCTGGAGGCAGGAGATAAATGGCACTGGGATATGTACACTGAAGTTTCTTCTGCTTCTGTTAAACCCAAGATCACACTTGTTTTTGCAAAGAGAGGAGGGGAAACGGAGCTGTGAGTGTTTCAGTTCCAACCCTTCCTGCAATATTAATCACCGGGGAATATTCCCGTGGGTGAGGGGCAGGAATGTAAAACACACAGTTCACAAAAATCAGGAGAGAGTCACAATTCCTTCGGATAAGTTGGTCCTCACTTAGTTATTAGCACAGAAGGCCTACAAAGGATTCAGTGTTGGTTTTGGTTTTTGTTGTTTAAGGGTCTGTTTAATACATCACAGAAATGCATCTGATCACAACTGTGGGCACGGGAGTTAAACACCATCAGCTGATAGATTGTTTTTATCCCGTCCTTGCTTCACACCCTTATGCAAAAGTGTTCTTGCTTTGTTAAAACTTCAAACTGAGAGCAAGGCAAAGCAGGCCTGGCTCTGGAAAGCCTGACTCACCATTCTCGTTGTGCCTGTCCTGGACCAAGTGCTGGTAGACGGAGTCTGGGACCTCCGACTGGCGATAGTACCACTTGACGTTCATGAGGAGATGGTCCCGTTTGCTCTGAAAAACAAGGTCTAAAGGCATTACTAAAAAGGGAAATCACACCACACCTGACACAACCTTCTAAGTTTTCCACACTGAAACCTGAGATAAAACCCAAAAAGGAGGAAAAACCCCAAAAAGGAGGAAAAACCCCAAAAAG